AAGAAAAAACAATGGATCTGGTATTTTCAGGGCACTTACCAAAATATATGGCCTGACTTTTCCTTTAGATCTCCCACCATCTTACTTATTCATGAGAATTGCTTTGCAGTACTGAAGAGCTGAGGATGGACAAAAATATGCTGCTTCTGTCTGTGCAGTTCTCCAGCCAAGTAAGACAAAAGAGCATATAAAGCCCCTAATGGCTGTCTTAACGAGTTCCATTTCCAAATCAGTTTGTCTGGTGCGATTCCCACTTTCTGCAGGGAAATGTGCACAAGTTGTACTTGGAGGATTCATTTCTTTCTAGTGCCAGCTGGGGTCACAAAGGAACCAGCACAGATGCAAAATGAAAAGAAAATGGCAGAGGAATCTCTGAACTGCTGAGCCAGAGCCCTGGATGTATTATCCTGTGCTCGAAGGAGATGATGCCTTGAGGCGATGGACTGGAGCCATTCCTCTACCACTTCTTTCAGAGAGACAGCTTGGGCCAAGGCACAAAGACAGGGCAACGGGGAGATGCAGCTCGGCTCCAGGTTGAGAAGGCTTTCTCCCTCGTGTGCTCCCCCCCGCTTTTGTCTTCTCTCTTTCTGTGTCTTATTCTGACTTTTCTCTCCTCTTCCCTTGCTGTTCTCTCCACTCTATTACCTTTCCCGTTTCCTCCCGTATCCATTTTCCCATTCTCTTTTCTCACCCAACCATACACGTATTCTTTCTCTTTTCCTTCCCGCTGCCTCTGCTTCCCTCTGCCAGCCCCGCACCGGCGCCGTTGGCTGCATTTACTGACCCTGCTGCTGGTCGCAGCGCACACGGCGGGCGCTTCGCGGGGGAAGCAAGGTGGGCAGGGATGGTTGAGGGCAGACGCTACGAGGTCCAGCATTGCGCTGAGGAGCGCAGTTCGCGCGACGGGTTTGTCTTCGCAGGAAGGGAGCAGCGCCAATCCTTCCTGCATCTCGCCCAGGACCGGGCGAAGGTACCTCACCTCCGCCAGACAGGCGTTTGGCCACTGCTCAGACCCCTACGCATGTCCTGAAGGAGAAAACTTGGAAGTTGCTGAGAGATAAGTAGGAGTGAAGGCATTAAAATCCTCCTGGTGTGTACGGGACCGGTTAGGTGCGCTAGTGGAGCGCTCAGACTGCAACACAGGCAAGCAAAAGCAAGTGGGAGGATAAAGGGGAGAGTATGAGAAGAGACTGGGGAAAAAAGCTTGGCTTGTTTTACCCAGCAAATGAATGCTGAGAGGGAGTATGGCTGCCATCTATAAATACAACGGAGGATGTATAGGAGGGAGAAGAGCTATTTGAGTTAATGACAGAGCTGGCACAAGAACACATGAGGCTGAACCGGCCATGAATGCATCCCGGCTGGAAATGAGCTTTCTAACATCAGATCAGTGACATTTCGCAATAGCGTCCCAGTAAGACTAATGGGACAAAGAAATCTGATTACTGTTAAAACGGAGCTTGATCAGCTATCTAAGCCGTTACGAGCCTGGGTGTCTGCAGCAAAAGGCGGCTGGACGCAGGGACTCGGCGATCAAAGCCCTCCCCGCCCTGTGCCACCAGCGCCCGCCCCGGCCGCCTGCCGGAGCCGGTGGGGCTGAGCTTTGTCTCCGTGCGAGGCCCAGGAGAACGGCCCTGCGCCTCGGGGGCTGAGGAGCAGGCTCCTGCATCCCGGTGCAAGCGTTTAACCTCCAACACCTCGCTACAGGTAAACGCTCTCCCCGTGTGAGTGAGCTCGCAAAGTCAGCCTGGCTGAAATGCTGGCCCCATTGAGGTCAACGGATTTTTTTACTATCGGTTTAAGTGAAGCCAAGTTTTGACCTTTGCTTATTAGCTCCTACAAGTAGGTTTTTGCCTTTATTCTCATGACACGTGCAGCAGCAAGTGAGAACGACGCTGCAAGTTACCAAGGAGCATCGTACATGAACTGAAATGAAATTGTGCCACAGAATTACTGCACCAACACTTTTCAAGGCATATAAATAGATACACACTTACCTCCATACCTGTGTTTTCACATCAGAGCTCTCATTGCTTGAGTTAGAGACCAGATTTCTCGAATGCTGAAGACCTGTTTGGCTCAGAGGGCATTCGGTAGGACCGTTCACAGAACCACTCCAGTGCTTCAATGCCAGCGGTATATTTGAGTTTCTGAATTGTGCACGAATGTAGGAATATATCTCCCCTTTACAAAAGGCAGCAAAAATACGTGAAAAATACCCTGTATAAAGCACGAGGCTGCCGCACTGGTACGTCATGAGCAAATGGAAGATTCTCACCTTGCGCTTGCCGAGCTCTTCATTCCACCCTCACTCCCTACCAAAGAACAGCATTGCAGCGAGAGCCCAGGTGTTGCTGGTTTCTACAGACATCATAAAAATCAATTTCTATTAGATGTCCTGAATTTTTAAAGCCAGCAGATTCACATCTATTAAAGGAAGTTCTAAATTCTACCAAAGACTTCACATAAAATTAGAAACTGCAAAACAGAGGTCACTGGAAATGGTCTGACTGGATGTCACCCAGATAATAAAAAGGAATTGAACCACAGAAAGCATCATTAAAGTACCTTTGAGTAAAACTTGCCCAAGAAAAAGGAAGACTGCAAATACAGAATCGCTGCAGAGTGTTCAGGATGGCCATCTAAAACCAAGAAACACAGGCTTGGACCACGGAAACCTGAAGTCGGTAGTCAGGGAAGTTAATAGCAAAACTCTTATCAATTGCTATCTTGGAGAATAAAGGTGTGATGGAGCTCCTGCCAGCACTCATTTGCCTCATCACTATGGACTTCTTAGAAAACCTGAGCACTGACAAATGGCATGTTGGTGACCACCTCCCCTCTGTGATCTACCCAGCTGTTTCAGATGGGCAGATGAGGACTTGGCTTTACTCATGCTAGTATCTCATTGATCTTAAAGGAAAAGTTGCCAAATATGAGGTAGTTTTAACCAAATTGCTAAAATTACAAGCTAGGATTTTTAGTGGATAATTTTACTATGAAGTATTTTTTCCTCCAGAAAAGTAATTTTGCTTCCCACTAAAAATAGAAGTATCTTCTATCTCAGAAAAAAAAAAAAAAAGTTAACAAATTATAGTGTGTTAGGAAATGATAGTAGCACAAAGAGACAGCTATAATCACATTTCTTCGTAATTACCGCATTCTGAAAAACTTAGAAATGTCCCCAAATCATTTCATTAAAAAAAAATCAATTCTAGCCCATAGCTTTTCGTGCCAAATTTTAGGCTTGTGAGCTGATTTATAAATCCTACAAAAACACAGCTTTTAATGGAAACTCAAAGACTTTAATAAACGTGATCTAAGCGGTGCAGCCGGGTTGAAAATCAGCATTCATGTTACGGCCGCAAGCTTTGCAATGAAGAAAAAAGCCGTGGGCTCCGCTGACGAAAGCTGCCGGTGCCGTTAGCGGGGCTGCGCTGACCCACGCGGGCCAGGAACGTCGGCTTCCTCCCTCCGCGACCACGTTACGAACCGGCGTGCTTTTCATCGCCGTGCCGGCGCCGGCTTGCCGGCGGGTATGTGCCCGGTTTTGGGGGGCACAAGGAGCGGCTGAATGACAAAGAAATGACTCCTGTGTTGTCACCTGGGGGACGTCGCGAGCACAGCCCGTGCCAGCAGCAAGGCTGTGCCATCACAGCCACTGCTCCT